AACAGATGGCAAGATCATCACCATGATGATTTGCACTTTTAGGATATGTGGGATTCTGTGTTATGTGGCATAACATATGTGGCATTCTCCTGTTATGTAAGTAATACAGAACTCCAAAAAGCTATCTGTCCTTCTCTCCGGCAGTGGGATCATCTGAACCTCTCCTAGAAGAAGACTGAGCATGTAATGCAAGGTTATTTTTCACAGTTTGTAAATGTCTAGGTTAGAGTATTTCCCTTATTAGAAGTCACGCACTTCACTTGACTGAAAGGATCATATTTCATTTTACCTTAATATCTAATGAACTTTTCACTCTTTCTAATTTTGACTACTTATATTCCAACTCAGTAATTACAGAGGTAAATACTGGATCTGTTTAAGAAAATAACAGACCACGCTCTGCCAGTTGTTAACTGAACTTGCCCATTGAGAGTTAAGAGTTAAACCATTTCTGTCTTATATTCTAAAGAGATTATGACTGTCTTTGAAGTGCAAATTAAAATAATCAACAGAGTCAGCATATTCACTTATTTTGAATGTCATTCTAAAAGTCTGTTGAGTTTTCCAGTCCCAGCCTACAGGTCTGTGCAGCTGAAAGATGAAGTGGGTAAACACAAGAATCCGTTTCAGATAAGAACTTGCAGTACAGAATTGCTTATATGGACAATCATAAGAACAGTTTTTACAGTAATGTTGACTAAAAGCGATTTATACATTTAAGCTCATAAACTTTGAACTCATGTTAAACAAAAAGCCACATAGTTCAACCAAATTTAATTTTGAGAGCAAACACATTTAAAACATATTTTTAAAATATATATCAGAATAAGAAGGGCTAGGATATGATTATATTGAACCAAAAAAAAAAAAAAAAGTTTTATGACAAAATGCTTAACCTATCTGTGTCTCAGGTTTCCCAGCAAGATAAGGAGAATAATAGCCTTTTTGCCCTTACACTGGATTGTGAAGCTTAACTCATAAAGAGTCTTACCCAAAGCCCATTAAAGCCAATAGAAATTTCTCATTGACTTTAATGAGCTTTTTATTCAGGTCTTTTACAAGTCAGTTGAAAGAGTGTCATTGAATTCAAGCCCTAATTTTATAAAGCTTTCATATCTCTACTTGGAGGCAGATGGAAACATAAAGAAGGAGTTATAGAAGTGTTATATTTACAAAACAAATCACCACAAAATAAAGTTAAGTATGTTGTTTAAATCCCAGCATGCTAATCACTGCATGTGTGTTCACCCAAGAATGCATATATCATATATTTATCAAGAGTTGTTTCTCTTGATAAATTGATTTGTTGACAGTTACATAATCATTTCAACCCTGATGCCAACTCACACATTTAATCTGGATGAAGTACAGTTCATAATGACTTGTCCATTAAATTGGCCATAGTGTCAGACAGAGATTATAAACTGTCACTGTTTTTATGCTAGTATTATCCTGGCTGTATAAGTAAAGACAATAACTGATCCGGCACTAAGCTTCTGGGATATAGTTAGCCCATTAAAATCTTTTAAGACCTTGTAGCTCCAGAGTGAGTTTCAGAGTGAGATCAGTTCTTTACATAACATGGCTTCTGTCCTGTGATCTCAAAAAGCAGGTGCATTTCCAGGAACAATAATGTTAGATACTATATACCATCAAAACACAACCTCACAGACCAAAAATATAACAGCATTAATTAATAATAAGACCAATAATAAGACCAGAATTAAAAAGATGAAAGTGTAACTTTGAACAGAGATATCTTAGTGATATTCTCCAGGGCTCCCTTCCAACCTCAACCATTCTGAGATTCTGTGATTCTGTGAATGATATAAACTCTTCATTACAGCCCATAGTATGCCAAATAAGCATTAAGGTAATATCATAAATGCCTGACTTCATTCTGTAAGACTTTGAAAACAATTAACAGCAGTTAATTAAGTAGAAATCACTATTCTAGGCCAGATACTTAACTAAAAATTCCAGCTTTATCTAATTTTTATCCCCTTAAAGAATAAAAAAGAAGTGGAAATACTTTGAACATTTTTGACTGCTATTAAAAACAGCTATTTTCAGCATTATGAATGGTTGACATGACATATTTCCACACTTGAAACAAAACAATATCAAGGTAACAGTACTATATAACATCCACCTTGGAGGTGCACAAAGAATTTTTTTTTTATAACCACAGACTACTTAATTTCATCAATAATTCTGAAAGATTAAGTAATATTTATCTTTGTGGTCATATATGGAACAAATAATATCACAAATGAAGCACTATTCAAAGATACCACGTTATTTTTGTCACTCCTTTTAAGGTATTATTTTCTATGAAGCCAATAAGTGGAAAGAAAATATAAAAGTTTTCCGAATCTTAACTAAAACATTTTCATTTTTCCTTCACTTTAGTAAGATGTCTCTCTATACCTTAAGATTCCAATCTGAATCTTGTGAAAAGCAATGTGAATACAAAGAGATACTATAACTTATTTTATAATATTTTTATGAAATAAGTAGAGATAATTTAATCTGCCAAGATGACACCTTTTAGAAATTCATTTTCCTCCAAAGGTGCATCTAATTTAGATCCTGAATGATCATATGGTTTTTGCTTTATCAACTTAACCCATTAGGCTATTAACATGTTGATATTCTCTGAGTGAAAGAAATGATTCTAACGTCTGTTCTCAATCTGTTATTCTATAATTTCCTTTTATGCCCCATGTAACTCATTAGTCTCACCTACAAAACAATATCTATACTATCCTTTCCTATTATAATACTGCATTAAATTTTGAAAACGGTATATCATACCCTAAAAGCTACTCTAAAAATATGCCATTTATACAGAATCCTTTGATCCAAGAAATTATAGATTTCTTCCAAATTAGAACTCTGACACATACAATGTTTATATTACTTGCTTAGGTGACCTATATTTTAACAAAATGTGAAACCTGGTTCTGGTCTCACCATTGTGGAGTCTATTCATGACTCTCTGCCACAGTCTTATGAGAGAAAAAAAAAGTGTTTAATAAAAATATACTTTCTGAAAGACTTCAAGAGAGTGATTATCATATATTAACTTGCTTGTGCAGAAGTGGTCTCAGGAGTGCAGCAGATAAAGGGGTATAAATGTGCCCCTGTAATCTAAAATTTAAATGCAGGTAAAACGTTAAACCTGGAATTCCCCCTGAATGCACTTTTCCTTTTCTTCTACAGATGGAAATTTTTAACCTCAAGCTAGTTTCCAGCCATATGATCTCTTCTGCCACCTTTTGTCTATACATAATTGCTGCTTTAATTGAATTTCTGGGAAAAAAAAACAAACTATTTACAGTTCATGCCTGTTCATAATGCATTTATCAAGACAACACAAAGGTCAGATTTTCCATAGAAAACTAAAGAATTTACTTCTGACAACATAGTCTCAGTAGCTCTCTAAAAGCACCACTTTCGTACGAAAAATGATACATGATCTGATGCTACTCAGCCGCTGACAACTAATGTGAGGTCAAATCCTCACAAGAGTAATTTTATAGCATTTATAAACACTGGCGAATGGAGGAAAACTTTGAGGATGTTAAGATTTTCTCCTTTATGCTATCTTGTATGAAAGCTTCCAGCTGCCTAGGCTTAGGATTTTGCCTTGCACTAAGCTCTGTGTGAGCAGATGAAAATGTGAAAACATAATTTTTTAAATGGAACCAATGCCTGACTATGAAAGTTTTTCTTATGCTGCAAACGTAGATTGGCATTATATTTGTAACCGAAGCAAGAGAAGATTTTTTAGTGATTTTTTGACTACAATTTGTCTTGGGAGCATAGGGAGAGACACAGAAAAGCCTAGCGCAGGGAAGAAAGAGATATTTTAGATAGACTAAATGAAATCTTGCAGGGAATGCACTCTAAAATTACCTTATAGAAATCTTTGAAAGCAGCAACATGGGGGAAAAAAAAAGTAGCTAGCAATAAGAGAACACAAAAAAGCAAAACAAATTAAAAGAGAGGCAAATGATCAGATAAGGACAGACTTCTTCAAACTGGAAAGTAGGCCCTTTTTAGTTATTTTTTCTTGAGAAAAAAATATTTTAAGCAAATAATTGAGACTAAACTACTAAAAGCCTGACTTAAATTCAGAAAATCCTTGTTTTGTCTTTAATTGAGACAGTGAAGTAACTTCTGTATGCACTGGTATGAAATTTACAAGTGAAAAAATCTAGCTCTGACAAAATTCTCATGAAAATCATATTTTTATATTTTCAGAAAAGAATTATCTGTATGGACATGGGTCAAAAAACACCTTTGGAATATCATAAAAAGGATTTGCACTTCCACAGCACTTCCACAGATTATTGGACACAAACAGTAAGAAACCCGAAATCAGATTAAAACTAAAGTGCAGCTAAAACTAAAGTGCAGCATTTACTGCCCTTCTGATGAAAGGATGCACATTGCTACCAACCAGGACTTTTGGACTATATTTTGTCAATATTTAATATGAAGATGGCCACATATGAAGAAAATTTTTATTTTATTTCTGAATAAAATAGACTTAAAATACCTTTACTGTTGCCTGCAGACTAATTTAACAGTTAACACTTACTAAGCATAGTTGCGGTTTCCCACTTTATCCCAGCACTGGCACTAAAGCAAAACTGAGCTCCACGATTGTACCAGCTGGCAACAAATCCCAGGGGACCATCTGTCATCCACAGAGCCCTGGCTAGCCCTCTGGCTACTGCTCCACTACATCCCTACAAACTTAAAACCTCCACTGCTTCTCTCTCCATGTAGGGGAATTAAAATGTGCTTTGATTCTTTTCACAATAGTTAAGCAAAGCCAATATCTCAGCTGGCTAAGATATTTTATAAACTCAAATAACTCTCACAAAAATAAAAGCACCGTGGAGTCGGACTTGCTATGTTAAGCAGAGAAACATGCACTAATTTTCGGTTAAAAATGGTACACAGTGACAATGGTACAATTGACTTACCGGGCCAAAAGCGTTGCTGTCAAAGCTGTGTCCATGGTGATCGCCTTCCACCCAAATATGACCATGTGGAACTTTCACATACTTCTTTTTGTATCCAATTGTCCTAAAAAATGTGAAAAAAAAGTATGAAAGTTAACATGTATTATTTTGGAATATGCAACCCATTCTATATTTGTTTAATGACCTCACACTTAGTGCTCTAGACTTCAAGAGCACTAGTCAAATGAAAATCCATAAAGATTCTGGATGAGCTAGTTCATTATCAGAGCTGTTTACTACACTGTTTTGGCAAATAACAGCACAGCACAGCACAGCAGGGAGCAAGAGATTTTTCAGTTAAATATAATTAAAGGATTCTTATTTCTATTTCTGTAGTAATAGTTCTTTGAACCATCAGATTTTATTTCAGGTAAAATCTAGCGGACATATGTTGTAGTCACATATAGACACTTCTTGTATGTACATGTGGGAATGCTGTTTTCCTGGGTAGCATTAACATACAGGCATTCATCAGAAATAATTTGTCATTTCTGACGTGGCCTCAGATTCAGCATTAAGCATCACAGGAATGTAATGTTCATGACCTGGAGGCAGGATTTCTTTAGCCATCATACACTAAACAGGATAAACTTAGAGGGGACATGTAGAAGAAGGGCAAATGCTGCAAAAACTGACATTGATGATTCAAGCCATACTCCACTCCCAATGAATATGCCTCCACATGGCATTACATTACAGAAATGACAAACTACAGGACAGTCATAAATCTGTGATTCATGTATATAAGATCCTGTATTTAGCTCCTGAATATTTCTTATTTTAACAATTTGAGTCTGTCTTCTACTATACATTTTTTTGCTTTCTTTCAATCAGGTTACTGTTACTCTGTAAAATTTCATGCATACAAGTAATTTTAGCTTGCATATGGAATTATTGCCATGAAGTACTTACAGATAGGACTACGAACTATAGGATCTGTTATTCAGTATTGGATAACAACATCTGTCTGTACACAAACAGTCTTTTGATCTAAGATTGTTACCTACAGCTGCTCTGCCCTTTCCATAATCAGGAAGACACACAAGAGTTTTATTCCAGATTTTGGCACAAGCTTTTGTATTAACTTTGGCTATCTATCAAAGCTTGTACTCCTTTTGGAGTACAAAAAAAAATGTACTCTTATTTTGGTCAAAATAGGATTTTTTTTTTTTTTTTGTGAGCATGTTATGAAGACAAGCTATGAATAGATTTGAAAAACATTAAATACAAGATATATGAGAATTCCTCAATTATTATTATTTATATTATTTATATTATTTATATTATTTATATTATTTATTCTATTATTATTTACTTTGCAAATCACAAAAACCCTATCCATGTTTTTTCAAACAGCTCTGGAAGCAGCTGAATGGATGGGGTTGGCAGAACAATGTTCTAATGGGAGTTCTCCCTATACTTTCTTCAGAGTTAGACAAATAATAACCTATTTTCAGAAAAAAAAAAAACAGATTTTCATCTTTTTGTAACAGTTTCATATTACAGAACGTTCAAAGCTGAGTTGCTAAGCCATTCAATATAAAAAAATGCATAGGCATCCCAAGTTGGTAACCATACACTTTCTTAAACAGGCAGCATTGTTCTGTAATTTAATTGTGCTAAAAGAGCGCTTTATTATTATGAAAATTGGTGGGGTTTTTTGATTAAGAAATATGACATGCAATCTGTACAATAAAGTTATTTATATTCTGAGTTTGCATATTTTTTCAGTATTATAAAGTCCCCAAAGAAACCATGTTTTCCTAAAAACTGTACGAGTTTAGAGAATTTGGCTGTTCATTCTGCTCTGCGTGCTGAGACACTCAGAAAATATTTAAATGATTATCTCCCATCATTGATAAAGACAAACAATAGCACAGAAATATTTAATTTTCTCTTCTGTTCATCCCACTGAATACAGAATAGTAGATTGTGATACAGTTTTATACCTTTTGAGACTTTATGCAGAAAGCTGAGTTTCACCCAGAATAGTGAAAGGAATTTGAAGAGGCCTACATAAAGTTGATCCTGCCAACATGTTTACATGTCTTTCATTACCAAAATAGGTAATGCTATTTCAATTTCTCTTTTCATGGTACCTGAGGTTTCACTAGTCGCCTAAAAGCTGGTGCACATTAGATGAAGAAAATATTAGCTAGTAATGAACAAACATTGACATACTACACAAACAATGAACAAACAGACATACTACAGTCTTTGCTCTCTGACTAGCTCACTTCTTAGAATATACCATTTCTGGGGTTCTGGGCCATTATCTTCTAAAGACTTGTATAATGTTAAAGTAGAATGTTATAGTTCCCAGCCAAATATTCCTGCTTCTTCAAGAAGTCATTGTATTTGCAGAATATATTCTGAAAATGACCCAAATTACCAAATAGTTTTGTACTTGTTACTATAGTCAGAGCAGCATCTTCTAGATCACAACACCTTTTCTAGGAGTTAATGCTCCCCATTTAGCATTTCTCTGCTGCCCAAATCACATTTAGGTGCACTTTTAGAAAATATACACACAAAAGAGACAGAATAGTAGATTTGACAGAGTAGAACCTCGGAAATGCCAGAAAAATAATATAGCAAATGTCATCAGTTATTCCATTTGCAACATCTCAGAACAGCCACAGCCTCCCACCCCCAAATAACTTATTTTTTTTATTATGACTAAGAAATCTCTAATGAGGAGGGGAAAAGCTTTTGCAATATGTACTTGGAAACAAAAATAGAAAATATGTACTATTGTATTTTGATCTTGAAGAGAACGAGTAAAATCAGAAAGTTTTAACACAGATATATAGTGTACTCTTAAACATCTGAAGCAAAAAGGAAAAAATTACAGAGTGCAGCATTTACAATTTGTTCTTTTTATTATTCTTAGGACATAAGAAAATATATATTTTTTTTATTCTTCAAACAAGCATTGCAAACCAGAATCATTCAAAAAATGCTGTCTCTCTTAAAGTCATTGATGATAAATTACATACAAATTCTCATATTGAAGAAAAGATGATAATATGCAAGATGTTTTGACTAGAGGAAATAGAATTAAAATTGATGATGTTAATAAACGTATTAAGGGAATAGAGAAGAGAAAAACGAATGGAAACAGAACAGAAAGAGTGCTTTTAATTATCTAGTTTAGTAGATAGGACGGATAGTGCACAGATAAATCGTTCTGTAAGCTCAGCAGATAAATGCAAAGTACTCTGCCATTTCATGCACGAGGTGTATAAAACATCAGATTTCTCTCATATGCAAGTGCAGTAGACAATTCTTTCAAGCTACTTTGCAAACAATAAGTACTTGCATATCTGTGAAGAGAAGGCAAGAAAATTATTTTCCTAAGACAACTAGTTCAAAATAGTGTAGCATATGCTAGTTATATGGGGACTTTCTGTCCACTTTAGCAAAACCATTGCAAAAAGCTGTCTTTCAATTGAAATTTAAAATCAAGTTTAACTAAGCCTTTCTTTGCATGTTTTAGAAACCAAGTACAGCAATAAGGTCATGTTACTGTAAATTGGATCATCAATTATTTAATATTGTTTTTAATTTTCAAAATATTTAATTTTTCAAGATAATTTCATTATTGAATTACTTCACAATTGATCTATAAATCATTCATGCAAGCAAGCCAGGCTATAGACTTCAGAAATCTATATTTGGTTAATGACTGTGGGTTATTTTTAATTATTGCTGTGAAGAATATGTTGACTTTTTCTATAAACAAAAAAAAAAAACTTGTAACTTTCTCTCCTGTGACAATAACATAAATTGCTTCAAAATCAAAATTAGTCATTTAGTTATTAACACTGCTTCTGTCACACATGAATTAATCATTTCCAGCCTAAGTTACAACGAGGAAATTGTGTACATACTATACGGGCCATAGGGTTTTCATTGTAAATGCAGTTAAATATTTTAACCAGAAACACTGAAAGAAATCTATTGGCCATTTATCTCTTATCATATAAGACCAAATTACTAACCCAAATTAAGCAACATCATTTTTGAGAAGAAAAAGAAGGTGTTGATTCAAGACTTTTTCTTAAGGAAACCTGTGCAATGAACTTCTATTCCCTTTATGGATTCAATACCATGTAAATATCAATTACAAGGTTTGTTATCAGAAAATGAATAGAATATAAAAATGAAAATGGCTTAGCAATCCTTCCGGCACTCTTCAATATGAACAAAAACACCCTCTAAAATTCTCATGTCTCTGATATCTAAAAATTAATTAAAATCAGAACTACCTCACCACTAATTTTGCAACAGATTTTCAGAGGCCTTTAAGACAAAAGACTTAAATAATGAATGGAGTGAATAAATGTATTGTGCATTTTGAATATAATGCAAAAAAACCTACTTTTCTTTCTCACGAAAAGCCTCTTTTATCCAGGTTTGCCTGTAATCGTAACCTTTTTGTTAGCTCTCACACATGAAGTATTTAATTAAATTTTTGAAGATGACTGAATGAATTCTTTAGAGTATAATTGGTATGTGTAATAATTAATTTAGTATTTGTTAATTTCATAGCCAGTTCCTTATCATGAGTTATAATTACAAAGTGATCTTCTAAATTTACAAAAGCTTCTCTGAGTAAAAAGTATTCTTTCACTTTCTGAAATCCACTTTTGAAGCAAAAATAAAGACAATTTTCTATTATAGCTCATACCTTGCCAATTTTAAAGATATATCAAAACACCCAGATTTTGATACAAAGTATTCAAACACTTGTTAAGAGCAATAATGGTGTGGCATGTTTAAACAGATGTAAAAGGTCGTTGACAGTTTAGTAATAACCTCCTAAGTTACTGTTGATCAAACCACAGTTAAGGTCTCACTCCATTAGGAACAGTGAGTCTATGCGGGATGCAGTCATTTTTCTAACCAGAGCATGATGGAATTATTTTAATTGTTTTTCTCACTTCCGCAGAAATTGGTCTCAAATACTATTCTTACACCAAAAATTATGAACCAAAAATCTGCTTTTTTAGTATGTGGTATGAATGCCAAACCAAGAAACTTGGCTCGGCTAAGTTGGAT